TCTGCTCTAATGAGTAAGTCGAGAACTGAGTTTGTGATCAACGAAGACAAGACGCACGTGATTCCGGCGAGCAGGGCGCCCTTGGATCAAAGCCACGCTGCCGCGCCGCCTCGCCCTCCGCTCTCGGCCGCTGCGTCAGGCCTCCGCTCGGGCCTCGGACGCTCGGACCTCGGCAGGAAGTCCCAGCGGGCGGAACTTCTCTCTGTCTCTTTTATTCCTTTTTTTTTTTTTTTTTTTTTGCTTTGCATGGATTAGCTGGGTTGTTGTTTAGTTTGCTTTTACGGGTTTCTGGGGAAATGAAGTAGCACGTGCGTAGAGTCACGTAGAAGTACAGAGCACTGATTGACACATTTATAAGAAGTCAGATCGCGGGTCGTGTTCTCGTAACAGGCCTTAGGGACACGGTGAACCATCTGCCCCGGTCTCTTGCCTTCGCCCGGAGGAGCACTGTAGGGAAAGGGTGCGCCACCCCTCTGCCCCCTGGGATATGCAAATGAGGTTCCGGCGCTGTGATCCATCTCTTTTGTGCCTCGGAGATATTTTAGGGTTTGTGAGCGACCAGGCCCTTCCACTACACTGGTTCTCACAGGCGGTCAAGGTTCTTCCCCACAGAACTGGCACCAAGCTCCAGGTCTTCCTCTGTCTGCTCGCCGCGCGCACGCACGCACTCGCAGCCTACGGAGCGTCGTTTAGATAGTCAACAGCTCTCCTAATGGCTGTTCCTCGATGCGCCTATACATGGTGGAGATCTGCTGAAAGGACTTTAGATAACGCCACGTCCAACCGATAAAGTGATATCACGGAGAGGGACAAAAAAAACAAACAAAAAAACCCTGCCTGCATATCCCCCAAAGTTCTCATCCAGTGAGCCGAGGTCAAAGGTCGAAGGGCAAGGAAGGACTCCGAAGTATGCTAATGGCGAGGCACGCAGAATCAGCCCAGGGCACTTACGCAGCCGGAGGAGTCTCGGCGATGGCTCTGCCCCAGATCTCACCCGATCCCGAAGGAAGTCACATTTATAGATAGATACGTCCTCTTGACTATTATCGTTATCTCTCTTTGACATATTTCTCCCGTGAGATTCCGCTGTTCTGGGATTTCACAAGATGGCTTACCTCTCGTTGTCCAATATACCAGCTGGGTTTTAACATATCCGCTATTCCTTTCCTTTTTATTTTTATTTATTTATTTATTTTTTCTCATTTCAGTCTCGCTCTTCGTTTATATCATTTCCAAATCAATATCCGAGGGAATGATTTTTTTTTCTCTTTTGGAATAATGGTGGGAAGGTGATTTTCCAACACGAAAGTTGTCCTGCCATTCAGAAATCGTTGTTTGGTAAGTTTGTTACCGATTTGGAATTTCGAAAGTTGTAACGGATTTTAGTTTAGTTATGAAGTCTGTGAGAGAAAATGTATATAATATTTGGGTAGGTTAATGCAGTGTTTTCTGTGGTCATGTTTTTTTCTAGAAGCCAAGAATGAGCGGCCAATTTACGATAGAAAGAAATATATAAGTATCTTTTTAAATTATCTTTTCAAATGAATTTGCTCTCTCTCGAATTGTGCAATTTATCTTCTAAAAAATTCGCCCAGAAAATGAGAGATTTTTTTTTTTTTTAATTCACCAAAATCTTCAAAAGTAAGAACACGTCAACAACCAGTCTTTCGCAACCTCGTCTCTTTAATCTTCCGTGAATGCCGACATCCTCGCGTTCCGTCGCCTTGGTGATGGCTGGGAGACGACAAGTTGATATTAATAAACACCTTCACCTACGCACGCCGGCGTCTCCCGTTGCCATGGTTACCGCGCCTCCGCTCTCCGGATTCTCCAAATGCACAACGTCTCCCCCCCTCCCCTTTCCCTTCCCTTCTTCTCCTTCCCTCCTCCTCCACTCCCCTTGATCTAAAAACGGCAAAGCTTCTTCCTTGATCTAGCGTTGGAATAGAGATTCTTGAAATAGCTATCTCTAGAGCTCCATATTTTTATTCTATTATTATTATTATTTTTTTTTACGATTTCTCAATTTCCCGTGTCTTTTGATTGTCAGAGCCCTCTATGTGAGCAAAAGGGAAATTCGATAAATATTTGTCTCTATTCATGCGTCACTCGTCGGGAGAGTGAAGAGAGGGAATGAAGGGGGGGGGGGAGGGGAGGGGAAGGGGAGGGGGAGGGGGGGGGGAGGGGGGGGGGAGGAGGGGGTTATATGTATTCACTGTGAATTTTCTGGTTGTTAGGACTAAGGGGAGAGAGGCAGTGAAGGGAGAGATATTAGGGGAAAGAGGAAGGGCGAAGATGGAGAGAAATAGATAAATAAAGAGAGGGGGCGACGGAATGAGCGGAGAAAGAGAGACAGGGAGAGGGCATCAGGCAGAGTAAGAGAGAGAAAGAGAAAAAAATGAGGTGAGTAAGCGAGCAAGAGAGAGAGAGAGAGAGAGAGAGAGAGGAGAGGAGAGGAGAGGAGAGAGAGAGAGAGAAGAGAAGAGAAGAGAAGAGAAGAGAGAGAAGAGAGAGAAGAGAAGAGAGAGAGAGAGAGAGAGAGAGAGAGAAGAGAAGAGAGAGAGAGAGATGAGAGAGAGAGGGGAAAAAGAGAGAAAGAAACACATAAACAGATAATCAAAAAAAAAATAACAGAGAAAACCAGAAACTACCAAACAAAGAAGATAAATAGAAAGAAGGAAAGACAGAGAGAGAGAAAGAGAGAGAGAGAAAGAGAGAGAGGGAGAGAGAGAGAGAGAGAGAGAGAGAGAGAGAGAGAGAGAGAGAGAGAGAGAGAGAGAGAGGAGAGAATAGAGAGAGATAGAGAGAGAAAGAAAGAAAGAAAGAAAGAAACACACAGACAGATAATCAGAAACAAACTAACAGAGAAAATAGACAAACAGACAGACAGACAGAGACACAAACGGACGAGGGGGGAGAAAAGACGGAGACAAATGAGGGCAGAATAATCAGTACTATTAGGTCACGGGATATTACCATGACAACCACTCAAACAACGTTTATCACCACAGTACACATTGAGGGAAACACCACATAATTACTTTTTTTTTTCTCTCACATACTTCCTTCCTTCTAATTCTTCTTTATTTCCTCTTCGCATTCATCTCTCTGGTCTTTCTTCCATCTCATTTCCTTCCTCTGCATTAGCCGTGTTTCCTCTCCCAAGGTATTCTTCTTTCAGTAGGCCTATTCAAGTTCGAGGCCTAAGGGTGGTTTTGGGTTGCCATGGTTACGGGGGAAAGTCCTCTTTTTTTTCTCTCTAGGCATCAGGTGGGTTTTCAGGGTACTTTGATTCCATTAACTGCATTCTGTTGTTGATTAAAGTTCCTTGTGGTTTTGTGTCGTTCCTTTTCGTTCCTGTTCTTTTCATTTCATTTTCTTTTTTCGTTTTTTTTTTTTTCTTTTTTTTTAAGTTCTGATTATCTTTTCTGTTTATTAATTCTTGTTGATTTTGTCAGAATTGCTTATAATAGATTATTTATATGAATACAACTTATTATCATTACTATTATTATCATTTTATCATTATTATTATTATTCTATCATTATTATTATCATTTTTATTATTATTATCATTATCGATATCAGCATTATAAACATTACTATTATTATTATCATTATCTGCATTACCATTATCATCACCATCATCATCATTGCTATTAGTATCATCATCAGTATTATCACCGGTATTATGATAATCTTTATCACCATTATCATTATCATTATTATTGGGGAACCGAAAGAGGGTATTTTTCCTCTCTTCTTCCTCTTTCTCTCCGTTCCATTGTCTTTCTCTCTTTTGTCTCTTCTTTTCTTCATAATATCTCCTCTTCTCTTGCGTTTCTCCGAAAATTTCGTTATTCTCATTCTGTTTCTGTTTTCTCTCCTTCTCTCTCTCACTCTCTCTTTCTCTCCTTCTCTCTTTCTCTCTCTCTCTCTTTCTCTCTTTGTCTCTCTTTCTCTCTCTCTCTCTCTCTCTCTCTCTCTCTCTCTCTCTCTCTCTCTCTCTCTCACACACACACACACACACACACACACACACACACACCGCACGCGTCATTCCCCTCATCTCTGGTTGTCATGGTTACGCGCCTCCTGATGTCAATCTACCGCCAAATAAGGCCACGGATAAAAAAAGGGAGACTTGTAATAACTATATTACAAAACAAGAGCAGGATGTTGTTTCTCGCGTTTCTTCTTCGCTTTATCTTTCGTTTGAGTAAAAGTTAACGAAGTATTTTCGTTCTCGCTTCACTGATGAGATGTTATAGGATACTTTTATTGGGGATGTTATTTCAAATGGTATATATATATATATATATATATATATATATATATATATATATATATATATATATATATATATATATACGATATATAATATATATATATATGAATATATTTATATATATGTATATGTATATGTATATGTATATGTATATATATATATATATATATATATATATATATATATATATATATATATATATATATGTATGTATATATATATATATACATATATATACATACATATTTAAATTTGCGGATCTGTATTGTCTCGATTTTTTCCATTCGTTTTTCGTATCTCTAATGAAAACTGAGAAAAAAATATATGTAAATTAGGATCGTCGTCACCTTCATATATATATATATATATATATATATATATATATATATATATATATATATATATATATATATATATATATATATATATATATATATATATATATATATATATATATATATATATATATATATATATATATATATATATATATATATATATATATATATGCATATATATATGCATATATATATATATATATATATATATATATATATATATATATATATATATATATATATATATATATATATATATACATATATATATATATATATATATATATATATATATATATATATATATATATATATATATATATATATATACATATATACATACATACATACATACACATATATATCAGGCTCGTCGTGATCAAAATTGTGTTGCATCTTGAAGCTTTTTCCCGAAGCAAAATAAACAAACCTTCCTCCACCTTGAAATCAACGGCAGTCTGGTTCCTTTTTTCGCTTTCAAAATACATTCATCTGATCTTTTTTTCTGAGCATTTTTTGCAATCATTTCTCTTACATCTCTCCCGGAGACATTGGTGCCGTCCTTGGGGATAAACTGCCATCAACACAGAATTTGATATCGCGAATTTTACCGAGCGTGATTTATACTTTACGAATGCAACATTCTGGGGGAGCCGCGTGCCGGAGATACGATAACTTTTGTTTACCTCTATCGAAAAAAAATATATATGTATATGTGAATAAATCTGTTTTGTCAAAATACCTGATATTAGAGTTGCATCTCGGACTAAATTCCCAGATGTTGCTCCGGGGATGTTGTTTACAGTGAGAGAGACAGTATGATGGATTCACACTTGGCATTTCTTGATATTCTGTCAGTTATTTTATTCTAACCTGTAGGGTGATTCACCTTCATAAAAGTAAAGAAAGAAGAGAGAAAAAAATAAGAAGAGAAAGAAGAAGAAGAAGAAGAAAAAAAAAACACACTTTATTCTCCGTGGCACAAAAATGTAAACTTATAACTCTCACTCCGCTGGATGCCATTACTCCAAAATAGACGATGTTTTCCTCTTCGTGCCTCGTGTCCTCATCTTGCTAATATCCTCCTTCTCCTTCTCTCCCTTTATCGCATCTTCCTCCTCTTCCTCGTTCTTCTAAAAACCCACACATTCGCAATTCGTCCCTCGGCTTCTCCCTCCTACTCCTGGTTCTGGCGGGTGGTTGCCATGGTTACCAGAGGCGGACGTAGAAGGCGTCTTTCTTTCCGCAGCAGGTACACGCACACACCAGCACAAGCACCGCTGCGGGAGAGGAACAGGTGGAGTCAGCGGGACGGAGGAGGAAAGGGGCAAGGGCTGGCGAAAACAGGAAGAAATATACGGTTATTTTTTATATGCATGAGTATGACTGTAAATTAAAAAGTGATTTTATCACACACACACACACACACACACACACACACACACACACAAACACACACACACACACACACATACACACACTCACACACACACACTGCAAATAGAACATGAGTGTCTGTATATGTGTGTGTATCTGAGTGTGTTCGTGTGTGTTCGTAGAATAGCCATGACATATGGATTATATATATCTATTTCTAAAATTCTGTAGAAAGCATATAACTCTACACAACAATTTCCCGAAGGCCCCAAAGGGATATAAACATACACTCTCACATCAGCAAGATCTTCGAATTGCAAGATATTGCACATCCAATTAATCTCGGTAACAACCTCACCCTTTCATCCATCCATCGGGGAGAAGAACAAAGAGAGAGAGAGAGAGAGAAACAAAGAGAGAGAGAGAGAGAGAGAGAGAGAGAGAGAGAGAGAGAGAGAGAGAGAGAGAGAGAGAGGGAGGGAGGGAGGGAGGGAGGGAGGGAGGGAGGGAGGGAGAGGGTGGGAGGGAGAGAGAGAGAGAGAGAAAGAGAGAGAGAGGGGGGACCGAGAGAGGGAGGGAGGGAGGGAGGGAGGGAGGGAGGGAGAGGGAGGGAAGGAGAGAGGAGAGAGAGAGAGAGAGAGAGAGAGAGAGAGAGAGAGAGAGAGAGAGAGAGAGAGAGAGAGAGAGAGAGGAGAGAGAGAGAGAGAGAGAGAGAGAGAGAGGGAGGGAGGGAGGGAGAGAGAGAGAGAGAATGAGGCAGACAGAGAGCAAAGCCCGGTTGCAGGTTGAATGCAACTCGTCGCCTGTTGCAACAAGTGTTAATGTGCCTCGAAGGATTAGCGGTGCGCGTTCATAACACACCTCCCTGTCAGAGAGTCCTATCTCGTGGAGGAGGGGGGGGGGAAAGAGAGGAGGAGGGAGGAAAGGAGGGAAGAAAGGAGTAGGTGGAGAAGAGAAGGAGGGAGGGAAGAAGGAAGAAGGGAGGGAGTGGAGGAGAGAAGGAGGGAGGGAGGGAGGGAAAGAGAGGAGGGAAGAAGGGAGGAAGTGGAGGAGAGAAGGAGGGAGGGAGAGAAAGAGAGGAGGGATGAGGAAAGGAGGGAAGAAAGGAGGAGGTGGAGGAGAAGGAGGGAGGGAAGAAGGGAGGGAGTGGAGGAGTGAAGGAGGGAGGGAGGGAAAGAGAGGAGGAGGGAGGAGAGGAGGGAAGAAGGGAGGGAGTGGAGGAGAGGAGGAGGGAGGGAGAGAAAGAGAGGAGGAATGAGGAAAGGAGGGAAGAAAGGAGGAGGTGGAGGAGAGAAGGAGGGAGGGAGGGAAAGAGAGGAGGAGGGAGGAAAGGAGGGAAGAAGGGAGGAAGTGGAGGAGGGAAGGAGGGAGGGAAGGAGGAAAGAAGGGAGGGAGTGAAGGAGAGAATGGAGAGAATGGAGGAAGGAGGGAGGGAAGAATGGAACGAGGGAGGGTGAGAGGGAGGGAAGGAGGGAGGAGAAGGAGGAGGAGGAGGGG